AGCAGCTGGTTAACTCGTGTTAGCAGCTGGTTAACTCGTGTTAAAGCAGCTGGTTAACTCGTGTTAAAGCTGCTGGTTAACTCGTGTTAAAGCAGCTGGTTAACTCGTGTTAAAGCAGCTGGTTAATTCGTGTTAAAGCAGCTGGTTAACTCGTGTTAGCAGCTGGTTAACTCGTGTTAAAGCAGCTGGTTAACTCGTGTTAAAGCAGCTAGTTAACTCGTGTTAAAGCAGCTGGTTAACTCGTGTTAAAACAGCTGGTTAACTCGTGTTAAAGCAGCTCGTTAACTCGTGTTAAAGCAGCTGGTTAACTCGTGTTAAAGCAGCTGGTTAATTCGTGTTAAAGCAGCTGGTTAACTCGTGTTACAGCAGCTGGTTAACTCGTGTTACTTAAAGCACCCGATTAACCCGTGTCAAAGCTGTTGGTAAATGGTGCAAAGCTGCCGGTTAATTCGGGTTACAGCTGATAACCCGGGTTAAAGCTGCTAGTTGACTGGGGTTAAACAGCTAATTAGTCGTGGTTCACCTCTCGGTAACAAGCAGAACAGTTGGTTGTGTTTACAACACTTACATGTTAGGATGTCTTTTAAACGCGTTGCTGATGTCTTTTACTACTCTCTGGACCAAGACGTCCACCTCCTCCTCCGACTCCGCCATTTTCTATCACTGGCGGAAGTGACGTAAGGAGAACTATTTCCGGGTTAACGATAATAATAATAATAATAATAATAATGTATAATACACCACATATCTGTCATTTGTGCAATAGTGTCTCTATTGTGTAATAATTGATTTAAAGCATCGGAGCAAAGATAAAACTTTAAGAATGTGTTTTATAAAAAGTAAACTATTAGTATTTCCATTAGTATTACGGTTATAATTTTTCACTTTAATGACATTTTGATTAATTTACAAAGTACATGGCCTGAATGTAAACTGTACATAACTCCTGCGTACATTTCACACAAAGTACATATGTATTTGTATAAGTTCTTATCTTACAATAATATGAATATGTGTAATATATTTATAAGCAGAGTCAGCAAAATTTTAAACTGTGTAAAAATTGTGTTTTATAAGATAGGACAGTGACTTCTAAAAACCATCTTTCAAAGTTGTAACTGCGCAGTTGACTTTGTTTTTACTGCCATATGTCTGTATTTATGAGTGTGAAGCCTTTTCTTTAGCAGTTTACCTCCACCACCTGACTGAACAGTGTATAACAGATTAATSTCACTGCAGTGCAGTCAGAACAGTGTTTGAAACTTGGCAGTTGTGTTGTTTGGTGATGCATGGATTATTTTCCACTTTAAGGATGTAAAGAACTTGTCTCAGGCTAATTTATCATTTTACACACTGTCTAAATACTGCCACCTAATTAGTTTGTAATTAATGTTGTTGTCTTTGCTGCAGTAATTGTGGACAACACACACACATCACCAGTAGGTGGCGGTATGCACACCACGTGTGTTTACCATCAAACATAAACCACATGAAGAAGAAGCGGTTCGGAGGTCCGGACTCACAGTGGGTCCATCATGTTTCTGTGGACTAGCAGGGTTCYCTTACAGACGTGTGTTGTAGCGAACAGACAGCTTCGTGTGGTGAGAAGCAGCTTTACCTGCAGCCAGGTGAGAAACTGACCGAGAGCAGCTGACTGATCCAGCTAACTGACTGATCCAGCTAACTGACTGATCCAGCTAACTGACTGATCCAGTTAACTCCTGACCTGCTCTGTTTCCAGCTCAGGAGGGTTCAGCTCACAGACAGACGAGGCGCCTTTCATCCGCTCACCTGTCAGCCGTCCACACCACAGGTCAGTCCTCCAGAACCGGCCCAGGTCCGGTCCTTCTCAGTAGACTGATGTACTGGACTGTTTAGTCCCCCGTTTAGTTCAGAACAAATTATAGTTCACGCATGTCCTGGTCCTGTAGGACCACTGTCCTGCAGGTTTTAGATCAGAGGTGTCCGGTCCTGGTCCTGTAGGACCTCAGTCCTGCAGGTTTTAGATCAGAGGTGTCCGGTCCTGGTCCTGTAGGACCTCGGTCCTGCAGGTTTTAGATCAGAGGTGTCCGGTCCTGGTCCTGTAGGACCTCGGTCCTGCAGGTTTTAGAGCAGAGGTGGCCTGTCCTGGTCCAGCAGAGACGATCAGAACCAGCTCACGGTTTTATGACTTTTATGTTTTCTGGTTTAGTCCGGCTGGAGGAGCAGAGAACTTCACCTGACTTCAGAAAGAGCGAGGAACCCGACCCAGGTTCAGATCAGGTACGGTTCTGTTCCTCTGAGCCTCAGGAGGTTTTGATTGGATCAGGTCTTCAGTAACTGTGTCTTGTTGTCTGATAGTGAGCTGACAGAGAGAGCCTATGAGAAGCTGGCAGATGAGACTCTGGACGCTCTGGCTGAGTATTTTGAAGACCTGGCAGATGAAGCTTTCACCGGATCAGACTACGATGTGGTCTTCTCTGTAAGTTCTCAGGTCTCCTGCCTGATGTCATCTGTGTGCTGGAGTCCACAGAGCTGCTGGGAAATGTCTCATGTTGATGTTAGTGTTCTTGTGATGAGTGGATCTACACACCAAACACGGGGACCAGTCCAGGAATCCAGTTCTAAATCCAACAATCAAACAGCATTACTGTGTGAAGATTTAAGACCTTACAGATACATCAGACATCATGAAACCAACATCAGAACTGTGGGACAACTAGAACCCTCCATCAGACTAGAAAGAGACAAGATTCTCTGAAAACTGTAGAACTGGTCTGGGGTCCAGGGTGTTCACAGACACCAGGGTGTGAAAACAGGTGGAGTGGTCTGTTAGTCATTTGTAAAATCTTCAGAGTTTTTTCCTGATCAGTTTAAGAGTTTTATTATAAATTTCTGACTTTACAGTGTCAGAAAATATTTTGTTTAAATGTTGAAAATTTGTGCCTTTGAAAACTAAATTTTTGAGTATTTTTCTTGAAAATTTATGACTTTTGGAGCTCAGACAGGGTTCCCATGGATCCTTAAAAAGTCTTAAAAGACATTAAAGTTATCAATCCGAAAATCAGGCATTAATTAACCTTAAAAAAGGTCTTGAATCGATCTTTCAGAGGTCTTGTAGGATGAGTGTAATTCCTCTCAAATGTTAAAATAATTTTTAAAATCTTTTTTAAAAAATTACCAAATGCTTCTCGCAGCTGTTTGTTTTGTGTTAGAATAAACATTTGGGTAAAATTGTTGCTAACCTTTTTTTTTGTTTTGCATTGGTGTTTATTGTGGAGTTGGTCTTAAATTTCATTTCAAGTGTCATTAAAGAGGTCTTAAAAGATTAACTTGCCTTAAGCTACAGGAACCTTGTCAGAATGAACGTTTTTTCTTGAAAATTTCTGAGTTTTTTGTTGGAAATTTGGCCCCAATATGCCACTGTAGTCAGGGGCGAAAATCCCATCTCATAACTGGGGGGTCATCAAACAGGGAAATTT